AGAATTTCTTCTCTCTATATTCCTAAAATACTATTTTAAAATATATTGTGCAGCACATTTTATATATGTACTCATCTGTCAATCTTTTATAGGTATTGAACAGAGCCCGGCTCCTAGACACTTCCTAGGGATTTAACTTTTTAAGACTAAGATTAAGAGTAAATGTTTAGTTCTGCAGATATCTGTAGAGGTGTAGAAATTAGAACTCCAACCCCCGTTATTTAAAGAATTAAACTAAACCCTGCTTGCTCGGATTATTAAGTTTAATAAGTTTGCCAAACTACTTATTATACCTTAGAAAAATAACAGTGCTAAAACTGAGAGTGCTTATGTCTGTAACTGTATATTGTTGTGCAGTAGAGGGAATCCAAGTACAGTAGATCAACACCTGCTCTGCATCACAGGTAAACCATTCTTATTAAATGCCCAATCCTGGAAAAAGAAAATAGTTTTACTACTAAACGGAAGGGAATCTTTTTTCCTATAACAAGTAAGTACATCAAAACAAAAAAAAAAATACTTTGATGTATGTCTCGAGAAGGAAACTAATATTTCTAAAAATAAAATAGACCCCTTTTCTGAAGGTCTCTTCAGATTTCAATTGGCTGATATGTTACTGTATTTTGAGGAGAATACCAAAACAACTGCAATCTAGTTTGTAAAAAATGGCAGCCGCTAACATAGCAAGATCATCATTGTTAGAGTTAGGTAGCCTTATGATGGCCAAGCCTCTAAAATACTGAGCTAGTCTAGCTTGACAATTCACTTCTGAGCTTATGATATTATATTTGGGTGTCTTTACCTCAGGTCGTTACAAAGAAAGACTTGAGTTTAGTATAAGTGTCTACTGTCTGCCAACTTCGTGGCTCTCCTTTGCCTGCATTGAATTGAGGGTGATTAGAATGCTCAGGGACTGCACAATATTTCTAAATAATATCTTTACTGCTACAGTGATGCATAACAATGTCTAAGTTGACTTTTTTATTTTTGGACAAAAAATCAGTATTGTATAACATTGTAAGTCATTTTAGGTTTGGCAGGTTTTTTTCCCTATTGTCAATGCTGCATTAATGAAATTGAATATTATTTTCAATTTAAATATTTTAAACTTCTAACACCTGTCCATGCTATTTCCCAGCAAAATAGCTTGTGAAACAAGACTCTACAAATGTACTTTCCAGCCTCGGATAAGGACACAGAAAGTATGACTATAGGTGCATGAATAATAATTAAAAAGTAAGAAAAAGGAAGTGATCGATATGTTTATTAGAATAATTCTGTGTTCTGGAGAACAAAAACACAGGTCATGTTTATGGACAGTGCATGAAAAATGTTGTAAGCTGTTAACACCAAGCAGTCTGCAGAAAAGAAGTTGCTATGGAGACAACAAACAAAATGGTGCTGTGCTTAGGAAAACACAAGAATCTTGCATTAGGAGGGAAACAAAAGTTGAGATGATATCACTTCTTTAATGGGAGGGGACATTGGTAAGTATGCAATGTGATACAGTATGTTTGAAAGGAAGTATCGTTACATATAAAAGAACCTTTGATATTTACAACAGTGTAACTAGGTAACAACATGACTTTTGCTGCAGATGGTAAATCCCCAAGGCATGGAGATATTCAGCTACACAGCTTGATACTTTTTTAAGTTGAATGTAAGTAAATGTAATAATATTTAAGGTACAGACCAGCACCTTCTGAAGGTGGAAGATAGTTAACCTACTGTTAAAAAGCTTACATCTGTACTGATGTAACTTGAAAATCCTGTTAGAATAAATTATAGGATATGTTGTACTGAGCTTGAGGTCTTTCATTTATTTTTATTTTTTTTAGAATGTATACTCTGTTTTTTCTGAAAATATGAATAAATGAGTATTGCATATCCATCTGTTGCTTTTGGTGTAAATTTTCAGGTAAAAATAAATGTCAAAATATCTTCAAAATACCTGTCATGAATCTTTCAAGTTTCATACTTTATGCTGGTTCTCAAGATTAATGCATCTGCATATTTGTAAATCCTTCAAAGTTACAACTTGGACTTCAGGATTTTGCACAAATAAAACAGGATATAAACATCCAGGAAAACTGTTATGTAATTATTAATATTACATCTTTTCCTATCTGTAGATTTTTAAGGGCGTATAATGATGTTAAATTATGCCTTTTCTGTTTTTTTCCCCCCACTTTTTCAAGCTCTTGCACCCTTGTAATAAATGTACCTTAAAGAAAATTACCCATAAAACTGAATTTGTGTTTTTCCAGATAATTCTGTTAGCAAAAAAAACGCTCAGATGGCTTTCCTATCTAAAATAAATGGATTTACTTCATGGGCTAATATACGTCTGATGGAATCTGGCCACCATGTCAACAATGTGGTTAAAGATCTCTTCACTGACACAAATTTGAAAGCTCTTTTAGAAAGTAAGTTCTTGTATTCTTTATAAAAGCATTAAAAACAACTTTTTTATTGCTTCGATTGAAATGTTTTAGATTGACAGGATTGTACTGCAGTTTGTGTGCTTGTTTCCTTCATATATGATTAGTCATCTATTTAAGAGTAAATACTATTGTAATGTTTTAATTAACAATAAGTGATTTACGTCAAAGGTAAAATGTGGTATTTCACTAATGTATAATGTTTAAACTACTAAAGCATAGTATAAACGATATGGATATATTGTACTACATCGTGCAAGTACTACGAAATATAGCACTGAATTTATAATATACATTTTTGGGGTTTTGTCATTTTAACACTTTATTTCATAACCTAAGAAAGTTAAATGCTCAATGAAAACATGATCTCCATGGTTATGATCAGGTATTTCTCACATGACTATTCTTGGCAGGATAATTGATAATATCAAAATGCATGCACAGGGAAATAATCGATAACGAATAAAATTATCTTCAGTTGATTCATTTTCAGTTCATGGTCACTGAAAAGAGAATGCATTACACTGTGGCTAGGTGGCAGTGCACAGTAATCTATGTTCATGTAACATTTGTCAGTAGTTTGTCACATTCCCACTTTATCTGTTATATTTGACATTTGCTTTAGTCTTATAGTATCATTAATTGTGTACATACGTGATATATATATAAAGGAAATATACAGTATATAAAATTTACATAATTCAGTGATTCTGTGTTCAATATTTTATTGCCACAGATGGCTTTTTTATTTTTATTTTTTTGTATTTCTAAGGTTTATAGTATAATCAAGTTTGTTCTGTTGTATAACGTAAAACCAAACTTACAGGATAACATTAAAAAGAAAATAAAAGGAAATCCACTTTACATATTTATAAAGAAATGATTTAAAGAGTATTGTGTCACTAAATAGAACTAACTGCCTATGTTCTATAGGTTATACTGGGAAAACAGTAAGAAGGATGCAAAGCATGGATGGACTCACCCAACAGCAGGTCATTACCAGAGTGGAGTGGTTTGTGGATGAGCTCAAGAAGGCAGGAGTCGTCCCAGAACATGACATCATCAACTGCTATGCAATAGCTACCACAAAAAACCCCAAACATGTATGTACAGAAAATAAACCAGAGGTAGTCACCACTATATCTGGGATCTGGGGCCTTAATGTAGCACTTAATGTGTTCACTCTGTTTGCATGAGAAACTGTATGTTCGATATGAATAACTGATTTTACTAATGATTTTAGTCTAATTATAATGCCTTTGGGGAAATTGCAATAGGGAATTAACAGGAATCAACTTTAATGACAATAATATACATTTAAAAAATATTTGGGTAATTTTAAAATTCATGACATTCTAGAGAGAAGGGCATGTAGTCACTTCTTATGTCTTATACCTGGTGCCAGTGGGACACCGGTGGGACTGAGGCACAGCTTAAATCGTTGTTGAAGTAGGGGGCTGCTTCAGCATGTGTTGGCTGCAAACGAACACATAGAGGTTTATTCCGTGCTGAAAAAAAAAGAGACAACTTTTCAGCCTTCTACACCTGAAGAAGACTCCACAGCCTAAACATTGCATCTCTTTCCTTTACCTGTTGCTTTTAGATGTTTCTCTCTAGGACACTTCCAGAACCCCTCAAATATTTTTTCCCATATGCTACGCTCCCTCTCTCTAGGTAATGAAAAACATTGCTCTACTAAACAAAGAAGTTTGGTAACTCTCCCCTCTTGAAGTGTTCTTCTCATCCACAAAAAAAATGTTGGCCACCCACAGCAACAAAACAAAGTTCCCACCCCTATTATGCGTATTTACACCTGAGTGGAAAAAATGCATATTTTTATTTTTCCATGACCTTAGGAGTATGTGTGCGGTCCACAACACAAGCACAAATTACTTGCTAGTGAAGGTGATGAAACAGAACAAAGTTTCTCCAGTCCTGCTTTATAAAGAGTTTTTTATCCTTAGCTTGATCAGAGGATAGTGGCAATGAGACTTGCTTGGCTGAGCCCAGCCTGAGTTTTCAGTCAAGGTTGTTGTGTCGAGAAGATCAATCCCAAGTGATCTGCCCTTCTATACCCACAAATTGTAAAAAAACAAGTTTGTGCTCTCTATGGTTACTCAGTTAAAAATAGATATTCGATGCAGCTGAGACTGGAGCTGGTGGCAAGTGACCGCGCGGTATATTCTGTTATAGTTCAATCGGATGCTGGGACCCCTGGTTGCTCTCAACAAATGCTGCATTACACACCAGCACAGATGAGAGATTCATTCATAGAAAAAGCAAAACTAACAGCACCAAAACAAATATTGGCATATAAATTATGCTAGGATTTTAACTGTTTTAGAATATCACTATTAATTCCAATATTAATCCTTCTAATCTCTATCATCACCATTGGAAAGCAAATGATGCTGAGTGTCTGTTGCAGGAATTTAGTGTTTTTTATCTATTCAATGAAGCATAGATTTCTGTAGATAAAATATCCCTGGGCGCTGTAGTTAAATCCCAGGGACATCTTGCTCAAAAACAAGATGATCCAAAACTCTTCAAAGGCAGCAAAAATAAACACATGCAATATTGTTCATAAATCTGTTTAGCTGAGGAATTACATCATATTGCAAAACATACAGAGGGACTATTGTACTAGATTACAAAAATGTAAATTAAAAAGAAAACATTTGTTTTAATTTCACTAGCTTCCCCCTCATAACCAGTGTTTTTCTAATCTTGAAATACAAACTCTAAATGTTTGAGAATGCTTGTATGTTACATTTAAATCTTAAATTATATAATATTATTATTATAATTTTCTTCCAAAAAATCTATGCTGTTAAACAATGTTTTGATAGAGCTGGTTGAGACTTCAAATCATAACATGCCAAAAATAAATGAAGCTATTTTATTTACAAAGCTGAAAATTAAGGCTACAATTTACAGGTAATTCTTTAATTCATTTATTTTTGTACTGTAGGATGAAGAGCATTTCATTTGTTCAATGAAGTACTGTATTTGTAAGTTTGTATCTGATTACTTATGACAATATTTTAGGCAATGATACAGTATACTGTATAAAGGAGACTGGAGAAATTGATTACTCCTAAAATAACTTTATAAAATCTAAACAGAGGAGATTAATCAATGTTGTCATGTGGTCACATCTGATTACTCTTTTGATACATTGAATTCTATTTCATTATGTATGATATCCTCTTTATGTGCTGCTGCCAATGTAACAGAAATGAGAAAGTTCATTAAATCACTCAAACCAAAAACTATAAAATTCTTGAAAAACAGAAAGATAATGACTTGTTGGAGAATCAGCTTTGAAAATGTACAGTAGCTACTGTGGTTAAAGCTACAGTTTAAACTACTTCCCCTAAAATGTAGCTCTGTTTAGGAACTACTGCTGATAAATTAACCATTTACATAAGAGCTCAAGAAAGGATGGAAATTAGGACAGGCCAGTTGGTCTATCTAGCACATTTGGTAGCTAATAACTAATTGATCTGAAAATCTCATGTGAACTCATGCAGAAGACAGGCTATTAACTTTGATAACATGGCTGGGGAGCAAGTCTCATGTTTTCACATATCTTTGAAGTTAAGTCTCAATGTACTGCACCATATATACAATTAAATTCCAATCAAGACGAAGTAGTATCAAGTTCCGGTTCGGTTCGAAAGTTTGAAATTTCAAGAAAGCAAATTTTGAAGGAATGAGACAAAGGAAAAGTAAAATTAAATTGGCAGAGAAAGGATGGAAACAGTTTAAAACAACTGTGTTTGAAGTACAGAAAAAAGATTTATCACAAGAGTGAGTAGAGCTGAAACTTTAAAAATAATATCCTTAATGGTTTAACAAATTGATTAGGAGAAATATAAAAGAAAATACTTTAAGAAATAAAATTATTTAACACCAACAGGGTCCAGTTAAAGAAAAAGAGAGTACAGTGAATTGCATTGGTAAAACATATTAGAAAGGTCCAGATTATATTAACAGTAAAGGATGAAGCGATATGTACCATATCCTAAAAAATCAAGGGGAACTTCTAGACAATGAAAAGGAAATGGCTAATGTGCTAAATGAGACTAAGTGGGGAAGAAATTAACATCTAGTCTTAGGCAGTGTTTGTACAAGTTTTGTATTGGTACAGAAGAGGCAGAAGTATTTTGGTAGTAGTACCACTCCATCCATTCATTCATTTTCTGACTACTTCATCAAATACAGGATTGTGGGGGAGCTGGAGCCTATCCCAGCAAGCACTGGGCACAGGACAGGATACCATGGATGAGAAAAGCCAGTCCATCACAGGGCATGCACAGATGCAAACATGCACACACTCACACAGGGACAAATTTTTCCAGGAATCAATTAACCTACCAGTATGTCTTTGGACTGTGGGTGGAAACTGGAGCACCCAGAAGAAACCCACAGAAACATGGGGAAAACATACAAATGAAAACTCCACACAGATACCACGCTAGGAACTAAACCAAGGTCCCCAGCGCTGCAAGGCAACAATGCTAATCACTGTGCCAATGGCTCCCTTGATTATAGGCCAATAAATCTTAATTTTATTGTATGCTTTTATTGTATTTATACAGTAGAAACAATATTTAGATGTAAATTCTAGTCAGCATTGATTAATAAAGTGTAGTTCTTGCTTAACTAATGAAAGTACAGTACAACTACTGTATAGCATGTGTGTAGTGGACTTAAGTATACAGCACAAATTTACATATTTACATTGCTTAAGTACTGAGAAAACAGTCCATATAAAAAGTTTGTGAGCTTCCAATTTGAATAACAGTTTTTTTGCTTCTGTGTATGAATTAAAGTAAACTGCTGGATTATGTTTCCAGCAGCCATATCACCCTGCAACTCACAACTGGCAGTAAACCAGCTAAGCAGGTGTGACCCTGGTCAGTACTATTGGAAAAAAATTAAGAATTAAGGTTGCTGGTGGAAGAGGTATTAGTGGGTCCAGCAAATGTCACTCACTCTGTGGTCTGTGTGGGTCTTAATGCCCCAGTATAGTGATGGGACACCATACTGTAAAAAGGTGCCATCCTTGAGACGTAAAACCAAGGTCCTGACTCTCCGTGGACATTAAAAATCCCAGGGTGTTTCTTGAAAACAGTAGGGCTGTAACCCCAGCGTCCTGGCCAAATCTCCCATCGGCCTTTACCAATTATGGCCTCCTAATAATCCCCATCTATGAATTGGCTTCATCACTCTGTTCTCCACCCCACTGATAGCTGGTGTGTGGTGAGTGTCCTGGTGCACTATGACTGCTGTCACATCATCCAGGTGGGGCTGCACATTGGTGGTGGTGGATGGGTGTCCCCATTACCTGTAGAGCACTTTGAGTGGAGCATTCAGTAAGCGCTACAGTATAAAAGTGTAATTATTATTATTCTGTGCAAGTGCTAAAGTGGTATCTGAAACTAGAAAAATGTTTAATTGAAAAGCTAGAATGGTCTTGTTTCATTGGAAATTACACTATAGTCTATGCTTTGAGGGTGTTCTTGATTTGTTTTCTAGGTGTTTGACTTACTGTGGAAGTTGATCACACATGATATCTGGTTCATCTGGGAGTATTCTCGCCAGCCACTGCTTGCTGATGACAAACTGCTGTGTGTAGTTCCCTTCAAGGTAAAATGTAAATCTACAGACACAATATTAAATTCCCTTTTTCATATTAACTAGAATAAGCCTTATCATTTGCACATTATAAATGTACATTTCAGATCAGTCCCTCTCTGCCTTCCGAGATTTATATTCAAGTGGAAAGTGATATGACCTTAAATGGCAAGAAATATTTTAGGTCAGTCTGCCTAAACAACTTAGGATTCAAAAATCAAATAATTCCCATTATCTGTATATGTGTCTGTGAAAAAGGCCTTGTAGTATTTTCAGACCAAATTTCTGAAATTAAAAAGAACCGGTTAAGTTCTGTCACATTGTTTCTACTAATTTGAATTATGTATTAACAGGGTATATGAATACCTAAAACTGACATTTTTTTTTGTCTTTTTCAAAACTAGTTTTTATAGATAACATTTATGACAGGATGAGGAACGTGACCCTTAATCCCAAAACCATGTTTTGCTGCAAACAATTCAAAGGTGCATATAGGGTATATTGAACACGGACTGAGTACTCATCCCAAAGCTATAAAGGTTAAGATACACTTTACTTAGTATGACCCTGTTAGGGATAACATTCAAACATTTTGGTTTACAAATTGTGATTTGAATACAGTTAAACACAAGGCAATAGAAGCCACTACTACAAGCACTGAGTTATCCTTAGGGAGACTGTGAGCCAACCCCTTGGCTGATGAGAGGGGTGGATAGGTGTGTCATTTAATAAACAGATAGAATTTTTATAGTACATCCTGTGTTTATCAGTTTGCTCAATACAGTATATCAGTTGCTTCTTCAGTGACTTATTGGTGGTTAAGCGGTTGACTAGAAGTGATTGACATAACTAGAGTTTTGGTATATAGTAGTTGTATTCTTTCACAACAAAAAGATACTGTATATTCTAAAGTTGTAGTATACAGTAGGTTTGCCAGACATGTTTATGTAGGTGCAATTTGTGAATTAATAAATGAAAACAAGATAAATACATTAAAAACATTTTTTTAAAATTGGGTCTGGCTTAAGCATAGGCATCATTGTACTTTGATAAGCCTTTTTTGATTTGTCTTCATACTTGCTGTTGAAATGTTTAATAATTAATACTGCATTCAGTATTCTAATATTTCTTATTCATATGTAGGAATATGAAAATTTCTTATTCATACGTAATGTAAAAATGTAATTAGTTTTTGCAGTCCTTCAGGTGTTAAATATTTAAATAAGAACACATGATAAGCCCTCCTGAAAATATTTATATATGGTACCTGTATATTAAAAACATGTTTGTTAATGTGTTTTACGTTTTCTGATTAAAGTGAAAGCTTCATGCATAGATATCATTAATACCATAGTTCTCCATGACTAGGCAGACCTAATTTAACAATCACAATCACCTTACATTAAATACAACAGTCCACCATAAGGCACAATAACATTTTTTAAAATAATAAATACTTTCCTCTACAGACATCCAGAACACATGCAGAGGTTTTGAAATTAAACAAAAGTTTCCAACTCAGAGGCCTCCAGGCTTAAAACCCACTACAAGGTTAAGGTTATAGGTGTATGTCTAAGGAAACAACATTTCAATGTCTAGTGTGCTGTGATAAAGTTAGTTCTACCAGAGAATTCCCTGCCTTCACTCACCTCCGCGTAGCACCTGAGGTTGGTTTATACTATAGTAATTGTAAAAGCACAGGATAAATACAAGCATTATTTACTATAAACCTATATTTAGTTCTGTTTTTTCTACTGCTTTTGTATACATGATGTTTCTACTTTTTGTTACCCTTGTGTAAATGTTTAACTACTCTTTAATTTAAACTTGTGTGATTATATATATGTCAGAAGATGCTCATCCACAAAGCATATTACATTGATTAAGTGTGACTGTTATTTCTGTTCCTCTGATGCTTATGCTGTCATTGATACAGTATGTCTCAGACATCAGGATAACTGAATTTTGGTTTTTAGTTTAACATTTTTAAGAATAAGATTTCCTCTTTCCTTTTGTGCAGGTCTAAGCTTGTGCATTGTGTGGAGGAGGCTACAATGTCTATCTGAATATTAAAGGATTTCTCTATATTTAGAAAAAAAGCTGGGGTGTACATAAAGTACAGTATTTAGAAAGTGTCACTGAATAATGAACTTTTTATGTACTTTTTGGAGAAGGGGAATGGGAATTGAAAATATGAAGTTTTTAACAATTGGTTTGTATTCTTTTTATACCACTCAAAACATTTTTCATTGCAGTAATGTATTCATGCAGATGTTAGTTTGCTAGAGACCTTAGAAGGACAAAGAGAAACTCCTATCCCCATTCTGACAGGACTTATTGACCAATTCCTGAAAATGTGTCTTCATGAATAAATGATCAGTGTTTAAAATAAAGACTGAGTACTATAAATGTTTAACACCCTGAGTAAATATTTGTACATGTTTCCAGTTCCATATTTGTTTCCTTATGTTTTTATATTTGTATTTTATCTTGTCATCTACATTTTGAATTCTAACTTTCTAACAGTGGACTCCAGAGGCACCAGCTACTGGAATAAAGCCAGATTCTTCACTTGGTGTGGCACAGCCAATCCATGGAGAGCCAGACATTTCTAAGTCCCTTGAAGAGTCTGGCTTCTTGCACCGTTATGATCCAGCTCAGCAGGTGGAAATAGAACCTTCTCCAGGTAATTTTACGGCAGCTTTGAACCCACCTCTTTCAGCAATCTAGCTCATGATAACATTTTAGACTCCAAGAGTGGATTCTCTGATGTATGTAATAAAGTGTATGTAGTGTAGTGGCACAGAAACAGTTGCATATGTCTTTTAAAGTTTGCATAATGAAGCAGGTGTACCCTGCTTACAATTATATCAGATATCAGGAATTTTTAAATATATTATATTCTACACTTATTTTGACAAGTTAAAAAACAATGCTAAATTAGCTGAATTCCTTCATCTCATTTATAATATTTATTATGTTATGCAGAACAAAACACCTTTATGTAGAGCTGAGAAAATAAACAAAACATTTTAATTTAAACTTTGTCTCTTCTAGGCCAAGATCTACCAGAAACGTACAACAGCAAGTTACTTTTACGAAGCTGGAAATCTTATCCCTCACCAGATCAGTGCATTCTGGATATGGTAAACACACATTTGCAGGTAATCCAGAGTCTGTTGTTCGTGAAACATTTGAATATATTCTAATCGTTCTTTCTCTAAGAACATGCTGGATGTTATGAGGGTTGTTTCTATGCATTTTTTTGCGATTTTAAAGGATTAATATTAATACTAGTCTTTTAATATGCCACATTATACCTGTAATGTACTGTATTACTTCAATAATAATAGTGCATAATCTGTTTTCATCTAATCATATGCAAAATGATATTTTCTTTAATTGCTTTTTAGCTTATTATTCTACTATTTTGCAGAATATATTGTAATATTTCCCATGCATTTGTCATAGAAATACTTCAGTCAAGCAATATGCCCCATTTTCATTTTTTTTTAAATTGCATTACATAAGCTTTCAAAATTAATTCATCCTTATAAAAAAGATAGAAAAACATCATTTTAAAAACAGACAAAGAAACGTGGATTTGTAAATTAGTGATAAAGAGTCCAAAATAGTCAATAAATTGCTGTCGTCTCTTTTTTACATCTTATAAACTGATTCCCTCTGTTATGTGTGTGACAAATTGCTTAATGCACAATAGCCACATCTATATCACTCTCATGAGCCATCTACAGTGTCCCAATAGAATTAATCACCAACCTTTTTTTTAGATGTTTTGTTGTGTAATGAGATGTAGTATCTAGCACCGTAATGTCTGTGATGAAAACAAATTAAGGAACGAAGGAATATACCTTCTGTTCTGCTGCTTTCAACTGCTGGAGGCAGGTGTAAAAATAGCAGGATGCCGAAAGACTCAGTAAGTTGGCAGGACATAAAATCCTTCACTATGTGCTGCAGGCTTGATTCCAGGCCAAGTCTGGATCATGTGGATCTAACCCTGCGACTCATCTATCCAAACAAAGATAACGAAATACAATTACATTCGCTTTATAAGCTATATGAACATGAAAAGGGGTTGACCACAAAACATGCTGAATATGCACTATATTAAACACTTTTGTATGCAATCATTTAAATCAGAAAATATCCTTTACATTCCTTACCCCAGCAATATACTGTAAATTTAAGTATAGTTAGCAGAGATTTTGGCCTCAGAAATCATCTTGTATAATCATCTTGTATATAATACTGTCCAAAGGAAGGGGAGGAGCTTAAGATCTTTCGTTAAGTTTAGTAAATACTGATATATGGTATACTTTATTTATACAAGGCCAATTTTCTATAGTACATCAAAAAAGTAAGGCTAATTTTCAGTTTAGATGTAGTCATTCAGTGGATTCATGTGAAAGTGAGAAACTTCACCATATAGACTTTCTTTATCTCAGCAGAGAGCAAGATATTTTGCTACTCAAGTCATGCATATTGTACTTACCAAAGCTTTAGGACGTGTGCAAATGTGTACCTCTACAATGAGGTGCAAATCACTTTCTCTTGTGAAAAGCTTTACAAACTCATCTTCACAAGAAATAACAACCAATCAGAAATGTTTTATATCTATTCAAAAGTTTATTGTAGGAATAAAGAGTTTTGGCATAACGTCAGTTTTGGTTAGCCTCAGACAAGCAGGACCCCAAACACCAATGCAGAATTTAAAAAATAAAACACCAGGACCTAGCCTAAGGCTTTTGCTAGGCTGTTAGGTACTTAAAAAATACTTTTGAGGATATCAGTATTGGGTTTGATGCATGTGTGGTATACCTCTAAAAAACATTGTGTAAATTGATTAGATAATTAGGAATGTATTGTGACTGCACCTATTTGCAATGAATAGCCACAAACGTGTTCAGAGTAAAATCCAGATGGTGTTATAATGTCCTGGAATTGAAAGTGAATTCACAAGGACTGATGCAGGGAGTAAAAGTTGTATGTAACAAATATTAAAAATAGTTGGCATAGTTGAGGTGTCCCACAAAGGACAATAGACCTATTTTAGTACAACAGCTGACAAGTAGGTGGAGAGATACAAATGAAGCTTGTTGCAAGACAAGGAGGCAGGAAACTCTTCAAAGCTGAGAAGGATTCCCAGGAGAAATCTAAGCTTGTAGAGGCCCCAACAGTCTTTTCCTTAGCAAGATCAAGTTTTGGAAAAACAGAGATCAGGGTGGGCAAGGCACTGGCAGGGGGTGATTTAGGAAAATCTATTGTTGGGAAATCATCAAGGAGATGAAGAAGAAAGGAAAGCTTCTAATTATTCGGCAGAATCCAACAAAGGGCTCAGATGAGATGTTGAAAATGTTTGGGCTGCTGGTTAAGTGAACTGAAATGTAAAATTTACCCTGCCACTATATACTGAAGATATGCTAAAGATTTGATTAAAGGCACATGGTTTTGAAGTTGCTTAAGATGTTGGCTTTGGAAAGCCAGGCACCTGATCCTGCTGTCTTAATGAGAGAAATGGTGTGATCAATGTTAGCAAAGGTAGCAAAATACAAGTTGGGACACAGGCAGTTAATGCTCTTAGAGGAACGTTCTGAGAGGTATCAGCCATGAGTAAGAAGCTGGGATTGGAAGTATCTGAATGAAGAATTTTACAGATGACTGGAAAGGTAGGGACATTGAATAAACCAGCAGAAAAAACGAACAGGAGACAATCCACTAGATAGTGAGTAAAGATTGGATCAAGATGGCAGGGTAATTCATCAGCAAGTTCAGGACTTAGTTGAACACTAAGTAAACAAAGCTCTGCCTCATCTGACGGACGGATGATAATGTGAACATGTTCCTTTGTACCGTCTGAGAACTGGGCACATAGAGGACCTGTACTGTACATAGAGAAGGAATGATTGAGGGCATATGTAAAGTGAAAGGCTCCATAATATGAAAGCAAACCAGGCACAATCTGTTTTCTACAGACCTAATACTGAAGAACTTTCTCTCATATGATACATGATGAGCAAATGGCTGTTCTCTTCTTCTTCCCATAGTCATGTGTGTTTCATTGGACTTTGTTCTATGGGTGACATACTGACTGGTCCAGATGTTTAGATGCATGCACTCTAATAAAACCTAATTGTGAAATACAGTATAAGACTTGTATGCTCAGTCTGGGATAACAGTCATTATGTATAATCACCACTAATAATGTAGGTTTTACTACACTGTTACTTAACAAAGTATGGTAAAAGTATTGTTACAGGTTATATTTTACAGGTTTTTATAGTTAGGTTTATAGTTATAGGTTTTTCATTTTTATTAATTTGCTTCTTCAAATTATTTAATTTATTTATTTTTATTACAAGTGAGTGGTTACCAAAACCTTCTTGCTGATGAATGGCACAATTTTACAGTTTAGTATTGTGATATCAGGGTTTTGAATTACTTACCAATTAGAATGAGAAGGATTCAACTGGACAGAATAACAAGCAGTACTGTAGCTAACTCCACTTGGATGTGCAAATACAGTATAACATTTATAAATATAATACCAAATCATGAATAGCAAGCCAATAATAGCAATCTGATAGTTCACTCAGGAATTAAAAAGATGTTAATTACATCAGGACTAATATACACATAGATCATAGCATGTATTGTACTGTAGGTAGTTGGAGCGACAGCCCAACCCAGGCAGTGTCTGGTGCCTTCCACTTCTTAATGTTATGTTTCACCAGATAAAATATTAAGGTTTGTATGTTGAAAGGTTGTTATATCCTTTCTGCTGATCTGTGCCTTTATATAGTTGTTTAAAAAGCTCAGAATCTTGGTTGTATTCACTATCTGATTGAAGAAACTTATAGAGATGGGTGTATTTATTGTCAAATCACGTGAATTGCTATTATTGTACATGCAGTAAATAAAGGCTACTAAACTAATTGTTTGGGTCAAGACGGAGATTTTTTGCTCCTACGTTAATTTAGGTTTGCACATTAAAGGGTTTGAATACATATGGAATCACGTCTTTTCCATTTTATTACATATTCATGATCTATTTATGTTTTTTATATTATTTATATTAATATTTTATAATAGTATGTTTGAATGTTTGAAGTAGCTTGTGTATATAACACATTAATTTCTACTTCAAGGTGACATGACTGCAAGCCTTATATCAATAAAACATGAAAAATGTGCAATAGTCTGAATATTTTTACAAGACAGTGTGGCATCTACAATTTCTTTCACTGCGCTACTATGAATTCAATAAAATATAATTCATGACATAGATCTATAATCTAATCTTGCAACAAAACCTCAAAGGGGTGTAGATTTTATTTTCTGCATGTGATTTTTACAGTGAAACTTTTACATAAGATTAATGTATTTTATTATAAGGATCTCAGAGGCTTTCAAAATACTATTTTCAGTGTTATTAGATTACATAGTGTGTTTTGGCTTTCTAAACATCAGTCTGTGTACAGCTAATGCACAATGTAGAGAGCCATTCTGGTCTACTTCCTACTTTAATTAATTGTAAACATGATTGCCCATAAAGATGTAGTCATGTGATATTTTTTTAGAATAAAATTCAGTATTTATTGAAATTAAGTAATAAAACTTAAAAGTATATTGTATTGTCTGATAGCAGATGCCATCTTTCAGAGCATGAGTAAAACAAATTAATGCCTTATATGGTCTTTATGTAGCCATGAACCATTATGCCTATAGTTTCATTTAACTGGTGAATTTCATGTTATATGAAACACATTATACCCACAAAAGATAAGCTGTAAAGCAGCACTAATCCCTGTTACATCATGCTGACCAAGACTTTATTTTCATTTAAGAAATATATGAAAATACTATTGTAGTGTGTACCTTAAACTTGGAGAATGACAAAGTCAGGGTTATGTGGATGAACTCTGCCAGCAATCCCTGAGTGGGTATGTCCCTTCCTCTGTTGGTTACATTTTCTTTTTCATGATAGACCATATTAGACTACTGTACATCCTGAGGTTTAAAAAAGCTTTTTTTAATAAAAGTTTATATCGTTTTTAAACCATATAGGGGTGCATTATATAAAAAATCTAGAAGAATCACAAGTAAATTACATTTACTGTCAAAATGTTTGGACTTATTTAATATA